AATTAATGTGCAAACTTTTAAAATTATAAGAACGTTGTCCTTTTGCAACTCCTAATTACTTCTGTGAGAATACGTTCCAGAGTTTTAATTTCATTATAGAAAAAGGTAAATTCATTAAAATGAAAGAATAAAATAGCAGAGTCTAAAATATATTATTACAATATTATATATTTTAGTAAATTATTCGTTTTTAATATTTTATTTTATATCATAGATAGACTTTTCATGTAAAGTTTATAATATTAGGTGTAAATTATTGAACATTAAATATAAGTGCAGGATTGCAACTTTAGTTTATTTAATTTGAAGAAAATAATATTATCGACTTTACATTTAGATTTCAATTGTGTAACTGTGAATATATTCTTGATAAGTTTATCGTTTCCTTTTCACGTGTTCCTTGTTTGTTTTTTCAATTTTTAAATTTATTCATATATCTATCTAATATTATAAATGCGAATGTTTAGATGGATGGATGTTTGTTTGAAAGTATCTCCAAAACGGTTGAACGGATGTTGATGAAATTTGGCATACATATAGAACATAGTCTGGAAGAACACATTGGTTACAATTTTTTTTTTAATTCCGCGCGGCCGGAGTCGCGGGCAACAACTAGTTTATTAATAATATATATTTTTATGCTATAAAGATCTTCAGTTCTATAAAATAATATCTTATTGCTACACTTGTTTTATAATGGTTCTAAAATCAAACAATAAATACGAACAAATATGTCGTAAAAGTCACATGAAACGTGTTCCAAGCGATATTTCATTTCCTTATTGATCCTATCATATTACAAGCTTTAGTTACTTAGTATGTACTTGTAAGCAAACGAGTACATTGGTAAAGCAAAGGAAATAGACTTTCAATGTAATTTCCAATAAACTGTTTACCTCCGAACAACTCATCAATCAAATCACCGCTGTGTTCGAGTTGCGGTTAACTGCAGGAAGCTGTCCTGAGTCTGTAAGATATAGATTTGTTATTACCTTTAAATATTAGAAGTTGTCGTGTTTTTTGCTATTACTTGACTTTGATTCTACTACGTTAATTGATGCAATAGCACTTCAAGAATACTTGTTATACTACGTTATACTATTATATGTTTGAGCAATAAGACCGAGAACCACTAATAGCTAAAACAAGTCACTAATGAGTTTCCACTTACGAAACATTTTGCTATTTCAGTTTCTCACGGAAATTGAAAGGAATAACGATATGTTTCGTATGAATGTTTCGGCGGAAATCCAGGTTGGATTCTTGCTTTTTCTTTAACCTACTAGATTAGAAAGGTGGGAATAGAACATAATCTTACTAATATTATAAATGTGAATGTTTGAATCGATGGATATTTGTTAGAAGGTATCTCCAAAACCGCTGCATAGCCTGTTAGTACAAAATAGGATAGGACACAATTAGATTAAGTTTTTTTTTTAATTTACGCACGGACGGTGTCACGAGCTACAGGTAGTGAAGAATATATTACGTAAATAAGTGTAGCAAAATCAGAGCGGGAAACTATACTGTGATTTTAGTAGTATACGTATAAGCTTCTACAGTTTTATTGGAGCGATGCCCAATCGATTTACTATGTGGAGATTCGCTAAGCGGCCACTAAGTGGTCACTACATTCAACTAAGATGACTCTTACCACACGAGTGCATATTGTTTCCCAGTGAACTTCAACGATCCTATAATAATCTGATTTTATGACACAACTAGCTGTCGCCCACGCAACTCCTTCTGCGCGGAACTTAAAAAAAATTTACTAGTAGCCTATGTGTTCTTTGAGACTATGTTCTACATCTATGTCGCATTTATAATAAACATCCATACATCCATCTATACAAACATTCGCATTTATATTAGTAAGCTTGTATGGTAAAATTTAAATTTGATGTACTTACGATTTGTTTTGGTTGCTGTGCCAGGTATAGTTTTGTTTTCCAATTTTGCAACGGAAATATTCATGAAATTGAAATTGCGACACGATTTCAAGTAAAAGCTCAATCTAATGAAAAATCTAAATCGACCCTCTATAAGGAAAAAAACGGTGGTATTTTTTGCAATTTACACAGGTAAAGTTAATTTGGAATAAATCTAACCGACGAAAGGGAGTCGGCCTAGCAAATTATCTGACGACAAAGTGACCCATTTATTCACAAATCAGAGATGAATGTAGCGGCAATAAAATATAAGGATTTTTTAGCGTTCGTAATACTTCTTTTATCATTTAACACAGCCCGATCATAAGTATACTTAGTTCTTTATATTTGGAAACTAGTAATCGCTTTATCGCCGTGAAATAAAAAATAATCTAGGAATAAATAAAACCGATGTCATGAAGTGATAGTGTAGCTTCCAAACAGTGAAAGAATTTTTCAAATCGGTTCAGTACTTTCGGAGTCTATTCAATACAAACAATTATTATATCCTGTTCATTGTATAATAATGTAAAAACAATAAGTTTATGCATAATTCCATTGATCAGCAATATTTAAGTCTCTGTGATAAAAAAAGTAACGAATTAACCATTCTATATCTTGACAGCTTTAATCAACAGAGTATAAAAACCTTCATCCTCTTTGTTTATTAAATTTTTACTCTAATTAAGATTATTAAGAAGTAACATTATATTTAGAAAGTGATTTTAAAAATCATTATTCATATACTTATGAAAAGATAATCGTGAATTTCTCATACCTTTTTTCTTTATTGACCTTGAAAAAACTGGGATATTTTTTTATTGTACTAGTTTTGCTAATGGGAACTTAAAATAAGACTATTTTTTAATATATATAGCTATCTTCCGTGACTCCGTCGGCGCGGAATTAAAAAAAAAAACTTAATTAGTAACCTATGTGTTCCAGACTATGATCCATGCCAAATTTCGTCCAGATCGGTTGAGCCGTTCTGAAGATACTTTCAAACAAACATCTATCTGAATATTAGTATTTATAATATTAGTAAGAAGTAAAATTAGTTAGATTCTAAATTCTTTATCGGGATATGCGGATAAATAAAAACAATTTCTATCATATACATAAATTACATGAGGTTATTGGAATAAAAAACATTCACATTACATTTTCAATTTATGCTCGACTACCAAACGTATTAGCATAACAAAATGTTTTGAATTATGCATACAAAGCTTCGACAAGTTTATTCTGCATTTAAAAGTGAATTTCAAAATGCTTGAACTTTTTGTATGAAAGTTTTAGTTCATTGTTGCGATTAAAGTTTTAAAATTATTCCTATTAAACGTCTTTATTTTGTAGGTCCATTTCCATTCCACATAATCATGTCTTCCCCCCTAAAGGCGGAGTATTAGATTTTGCACCACGTAGCCTACGTCGGTACAATTGCTAGATTAACAACCTATTTATATTATTATTACTTATCAGACTAAAAATTATGTCACAAATTAAGAACACGAGAACCTAGAGGTTCTTATAAGTTTGTGAAGTAGTTTCTAACATCCGTACCATTTCGTTACGGCCCGACATAATTGCAACACTAGTGACGTAGCTATATCAGAAGTACAGCGCATTAAACAGCACATAATAGTAAACTAATCTACATGACGATAATGGCATGTGGCCTAGGAGTTAACCATGTGGTACTGGACTTTTTTTAAGGTTCCATATCTCGAAAAGAAAAAAAACGGAACCCTTATAGGATCACTTTGTTGCCCGTTTGTCTGTCAAGACTCTTTTTTATTTTTAATTAAACTATATTCGAATACTGGCTGCACGCGACTCCGTCCGCGTGGTATTAAAAAAAAAACTAAATGTGCCTTTGTGCTCTTCCAGATCTTCTACATCTTTGCCAAAATTTTTTTAAAAATGTTGAGCCGTTCTGGTGATACATTCGATACTCCATCCATCTAAACATTAGTATTTATAATATTAGTAAGAAGTAAGATATACTACTATATGTATGAACATTGTGTGGAAGACGTTTGAATATTGATGTTTAGTTACGCGTTGATATATTCTTGCACTGTTTATCTATGTATTTTTTTTCTTTTTATTTATCATTGTTATATGTTATTTACTGTTATTATATAATATGTTATCGGGTAAACTGTTATGTAAAGTGTGTATAGTGTCAAATTGGTTGTATACTGTAAGGATGCTAGGCAGTTTTTAAATAAATAAATAAATAAAAACATTAAAAATTTAAAAGAAACATCAAGTGAACAATAATAATTGCAAACCAAAAATGAAATACATTCTTAATAATAGAAAACACATTGTAAGTAAACAATGTTTGGTACGATGTACTTATTGAGTTTGAATGTGAGGGTTTGAAATTAATTAAAACGACTACGCACTTAAAACTTTATAAATGTGCGAAATTAGAATGGAAATCGACAATAGTTTCATTTAAACTGCTCCCAAAGCAAATATTAGACCACTGGTGCCTAATGTTCACACTTGAAAGCAACCGACTTTCCTTTACGCGAACTTAATGTTTCCGGAATTGCACGAGCGAGTTCGTTCCATTTAAGACAAAATTTAGAGCCATTTGTTTTTCTTATACACTTTGTACCTATTGTTAGGAAGAAAATCCGACACTGTGCCGGTGTACTGGCGTAACACTAGCCTTACTAAAATGTCATTTATGTACCCTCACTAATTATTCTGACACTTGACTTTGTAATGATAGCGGGCCATTCGCGTCAAAGGATTCTAATTAATAATGACTAAAACTATTTAGATAAAATCACAGATACTTGGTACTAGTAGAAGGGGGGGCAAGGGGCGCATTTTAGGATTTACACGAGCGTGGCAGTTAAACATAAAGATGCAACGTTGCACCCAAACAAGGACTCTCAGCGCATGTAGAACTCTCCATATAGAGACGGAATTTTAAGGCAGCTCAAGTAAATCCCAAAATCCCCGTTTCGCCTCCATTTAGTTAAAGCGGGGAACTTTTTTATCTGTCTGATATATATAAAATATTCTAATCTTATATTTTCTTCTTTACAGATCCAAACACAATGATTTGAGCAGATCTGGTGAGCAAATTAAATTAAAAATATATCGAATACACCCCGTAGTTATTTATTACTAGACAAATGTTATAAAATCATACTGTATCTTCTTGATTCATTATAACAAAGTCAAATAACAGTGAAATGAGGAAAATACAAAACTGTAGTGTACCACAGAAACGATTCTACGCAAAGCTACGAAGTTGCTACGATGCCGCTACCGTAGAAGTAACAAAAGAACAAATATATTGAATAATGTGTTAATCAATTCAATTGTTTTATCCGTGCACGTTTAATGATGGCTGATTAACTTTTCATAATAAAAGGTGTCAATTGAGCAAGCGGCCATCTAAATTTGCCAAAATAGCGAAGCGACCGCTGCCCATAGACAGATGCTTTGCCTATTTAACTTCAGACGGCATGAACTTCTCTAATAAAAAAATATCTCTAAATTAGTACCAAGCATTCTACTACCCTTACCCAAATTAAATTATTCAATCTTTCGTGAGACATTATACTAAACTGATATATAAACCGCCACCGGACGAATATACTTGAGTGTTTAGCCAAATTGGTATTAATTCTTTTTCAGTTAATTTTAGTCATGTTAAATTTTAATTAGTGTTTATTTTTTCAAGTTCTAGACATTTATATTTGTTTATTGTAAGTGCAATTTACCATTAGCGAATTGTTTATATAACTGTAATAGAATGCCGTCGTAACGACGAAGCTATCATGTTTATTAAGAAAAGTAAACAAAAACTACTTCAATGACATCCGTCTAACAAAGGCTTTCACTCGAGTAGAGTGCAATGTTTTTATTAGATGTATACACAGGGTTTCTCGTAGACATCAATTTTTTACGTTTACCATTTTAACTTTTTCATTTTAATCTGTCAGATTATTTTTATTATCTGTATGTATTGTTCATTTTCAAACGTTACAGATTAAAAAAAAACGAATAAAATAAAATGTAATACTGTAAAAAAAAAATACATACTAACCTTTTACTTAAACTATAGCACTAAGACGACAGAGTCCTGGCTCCTATAATACGGGTCTAGAACCTAGTTTAGGAACCAGGCATACTACTTTGTAATTTTTGTTGCCTAAACAAAGGATTTTTATTTATTTATTTATTATTGATATATATATGTTGAGCTTAGTAGCAATAAGCTTTATTTTTTTTTGCTTTTTTATAAAGTTTTCTTGCAGCCAGACTTCCTTACCACCATTGAATAGGGCTTACATCTAACAGTGTAGAAAAATTAATTATTTTGGTAAAGTAATATTATAAATATTAATACAAATTCCCCGTAAATAATTTGCATCCATGCACAGATTAACATTTTACTTTCGAACGCGTAATACCTGATAAAAATGTATACTGAAAATGATTTTGCAATTGCGTTGAAAAAAAAATGAGTTTTTTGGCACGACGCATTACAGCAGCTTTTTTAATACCAGTAAAGCGCATACACAACGAAGGTCGACATTCATTCAAAGATTTGCCGCATGAAAAATTACGCTTCAACCATGTTGAAAACTATTTCAGGAATTTTATATGTATACTACAAACTTTATAGTACTATTACCATTTCATTGCTAAACATTTTTATATTTTTAAAGAATTCTTAAAGAATCGCTTATGCTTTTGCAGAATCTCTTTACAAAATTCCATCACATTATGTACAATGGTTTAAGAGTAGGGCACACACAGACACTGATTTTTATATCGACACATACCTACTATATAAAGTTAATTATTGAACTATATGTTTCAATTTAGAGTGAATAGTAGTTAAATATATGCTCGTAAACACTTTGTGAGCTTCAGTTGTTCTGAGCAATTGCACCGGAGCACCTACAAATGCATGCAGTTCGATATTAAAAAGAAATTACTAAGTTACGTTACTATATTGAATAATTTGCAATGCTTTATTACGTTTGTTTTCTTTTACTCTACTTTAAAATAAATAAAACAACAATATATTTACTTTATGTACTCATGTTTTATAAGCAATCTCATTAATATTATGAATGCGAATGTTTGGATGGATGGATGTTTGTTTGAAGATATATCCAGAACGGCTGCATGGATATCGGTGAAATTTGGTATACATGTGGAACATAGCCTGGAAGGACATACAGTCCACTAATTACGTTTTTTTTTACTCTGCGCTGACGGAGTCGCGGGTGACTGCTAGTTACTATTAATTTCACCTACTTAAAATTCGGCATAAAAACTAATATTATTCTATATTTTAACTGTAAACAAAGATATAAAAATTGTTAAGTGAAATAACAAATATACATTCAGGATGACAAGCGAACTATTATAAATGTCGCATTTATTTCTGGAATTAATCGAGCGTCGACGAACGTGCGCATAAAATGACTTGTTTGCTGCACTTGATAAGTGGAACGCACTGCCATTTGCAGTGCAAAGGGTGGCATTTATGTGTTAAGTACTTTTACATTCAGATACAGATACACATAAATATATTACAATATATTCCTAAAGGTTTAATTAAGTACATGGTATATAGATTTTTCGATTCTATTTATATTTCAAGCGACGTAATACAATGAAACTCAAATAGTAATTTCTTTACTGCAGAAACATATAATATATTATAGTATACAGACTTATCCCTCGAAAACAAAACTTGTCAGTAGGGACGTAATAAAAAATATATACATACAACTCACAGGCATCGCCAGCCGATGATCATAGCTAGGTCTAGAAGACTAGCTACTTAATATGGTCTTATACGAAGTACTTTTTTTGTATATTTTACATATATCGATTCTCTATAGAAGGACATCAGTTTCCCCGCATTTTGAACATACTGTCAAATTTAAAAGCATAAACGTAGTTACTGATGAATTAAGAAAACAATATCAGTGTTGATACTATTTTCAGTTTCATAGAACGACCACTTTCTACAAATTGCAATACTCTTGAAGCTTAATTTTAATTAAGTACGTGAAGAGTACGTTACTCCATTTCATTAGTCGTCGTCCGGTCTAATTATATAAACGGCTTTGTAGTCAGCGACAATGTCTCCTCCGTTGCTACTCATATGCACTGTTCTATTAATTAGTTTAACATATTTCATTATATTAATATTGAAAGCGGATTAAAAGGGATTTTATTTTTAATTATAGCTACGTAATCAGTATCTAATCTACACTGATATTTTATGGAAGTTATATATTAGTTGTTGAGTAATTTGATGAAAATATAACTTACCAAAAACTATATCAAATCCATTTTTTGATCTATTAATAGCGTATTGTCGTTTAGTAAACAAAAACAACAAAAATAATATAAAAAAAATTGTGATGCAGACTGTGTTATTAAAGTTATTTGTAGAGGTGGTTGGTCGAGTAAAAGTTGGTGGAATAGTAATTGGTCGAGTAGAAGTTGATCCAGGTGAATCTCTATCTATTCAATCCCTAACCTCACTGAATTTATTTTCCATGAATTTTATTCCAAGCAAACAATATAGGGAACAGTTAGGTTAGATCATAAGCAAATTCCGATAACACGGAAAGCGGCATTCCGAAACACTGAAATATTTGCGATGAGCCACGAATTTGACAACAACGACGAATTCCATACGTACGTAGACGTGTCTAGGTTTTTGAAGTTATCGATAAATTAATAAAGGTCTACAGGTACAAAAATTATAATAAACTTTTTAAAATAACGTTAATATAAAAAATTACTTCTATTTTTAATGAATTCGACCGTGAATTCTGAACCGTGCGATATATCAGCTCAGAGTTGTTTAAGGGTGACCTTGATGAAGATTTAGTATGAGAATGAAACTTTAGTTAAACAAATCAGAGTGCGGCAGTTAATACTATTATTCTTATTTAACTTTATCAGTTGCATTGTTTTGTTCTAGTGGTTATCGTAGACGGGCGAATGGTCCGTAGAGATGGGAGGGCTGCGGCGCATGTCAAGTGCGCTGCTTCTGCCCTTCGCCCTCCTGTCGCTGCCGCCGGTGTCTGCTTTCAACGCCACTGCCTACCGAGTAAGTAAAATTTGATAACATATCAAAAGTTAATCTAACGAGTAAGACCATCCCATTTCTAAATCTAAGATTTAAATCTATTCCATCCTTTGTTTTTTTGTCTAACAAATTCTTCATTCCGCTGCTAACACCTTTTTATTTTACCTTTTCAATATATTTTGTACTTCAATTACCTATATGCAATATGTTTGTTTCTATTTTAGTTCTTATTAGAATTCCGGTAGATTCAACGTATGAGTCACGTGCATTATTTAATCTCACCAGACTCACGTGCCCACACTGCGAAATGAACACTAGTTTACTGTAACGACGGGCTCTATTATTCTTTGAATAATAACGATCTTCCTGTATTCACATTATGACATCTTACATGTAATAAAAAAATATTGTTTAATAAAACACATTTTTAGCCTAGGACGCTAGAGGAAATTTTACCATGAGATTCTAAAACACTTTTAATTCCATATAACAAGCCCAAATTTCAAACCTGAAATTATTTTTTGAAAGAATTACGTATGTTTTTCTTTGCAGTTATTTTATAAAATAACGATTTTGATAAGGTAATTTCTTGAAATTTCGTTTATCGCATTCGGAGTGCCGTTAAGAAACCTTTTCTTACCTTTTATTCAATAACCCTCGTCGAGGGCGCGCATCAACGACACCGTAATGACTCTAACGTGACTATCTGATCAATTTGAGTGGTTTGCGAATACCTTTCTGCTTACTATTGCATTTTCTTAAAATGAAAACGCTAAATGATCCTTAACATTTTTATTAAAAATAACTTTACTAAAACTTATTTATTTTACTTAATTAGATATTGCTTTAATTTATTATATATAAATTGTTAGGTTATGCTAAGCGCAACAAACACGTGACCAGTCAGTCGTAGTTTGTTAATTACACGTGAAGTTAATTAAAAGCAATATGCAATGAGTATACCACACTGTTGACGAATATTCCTGTTTGTAGCTGTGATAAAACTGGCTTGTGGCATGACAGTTTACAAAAGTGTTGCCATTATAGCAACATTTAACATTTTTAAAGTTCTATTAGACACACTCAATTGCTTAATACAATAATCCCCATAAAAATGTTTGTCCATTTACTCATTAGCACATGTTAAGTTGAACTATTAAATTTAATATATAGGCGAACTATTTATTTTAATAGAAAGCACCCTCGTCCTTAGTTGATCATAGGCAATGGCTCTGTATATTTATATTTAGTTCGCAATGAACGGTCTATCGCACTGACGTAAATACGCTACTCATTGTACAATGTTTAATGCGGCATGCAATTCATCATTGTATGTTTGCATTTCATAACACTACAATTTCAAATATTTTCCTGTACAGGTCAAAAAGCCAACTTAAGCATAGCATATTTATATTTTTAATAGCCTATATTTGCCCGGCCTATCTTTTGCTGCGAGGCTTATTTCTAGCCTATTAGTGAATGCGTTCATGTGACTCACTGTTACTTTTTTTTATTATAAATTAACCAAAAAACAATAACCTAGTTGTTTGTTGGTATTATTTGATCACATAACTGTTCAAATCAATTTTTAATATACTTTGTGTACAGCAAAGATAAAATTTTATAAATATTCCAACTCTTTTAGAACTGTTTAAAGACTGAAGAGAGTGTTGAGTAAAGAGATTTAATAAACGTTATTATGCAACCGTTGGCGGCCACTTATGTTTAAAATAAATCATAACTAGATGAGACAAAATGTTTACGTATAATATTGTAGTTGGAACATTTGTGTAAAAAAAGTACGAATATGATTTTACTTTTGTCAATTATACAAGATATACAAATCATTAAAAAAATTATTAATTTTATTTCGAAAATTGTAGACGCTTCTCGATCTGTTAAATTATCTAATATTTAGTAAATATGTTTCACATCTATTACGAAATAGGGTTAAAATACTATAATTTTTCTCAAAAATCATTTCTTAAGGAATTAAGGAGGCATTCGTGAATAAAAACTTGAGAATCAACTCCATTATTTACTTTATTTTCTAATGTTAATTACATTAAATCTATCGCATAAGGTAATTCTCACCTGATAATAGAGATAATTAACGTTTTAGTGTAGCGTACTAATAGTTTAATTATGAGAACTTTTGTCACTAACGAGTTTTAAATGAGCAAGTTGTGAGCATATATGTAGTTTGAGATAATACGATAACTTCCATGTTAATTATGTTAATGCTCTATCTCCAGTGATACTTGAGCGTTTTCGGTGTTTAAAGATTGTCAAGAATAATCATACATCTGTAATATTAGTATGTTTATATATTATATAAGATATATATTATATAAGATAACTTTTACTATCCTTGGGTACGAGATGGAAGACAAAATGACTTCATCATGTCAGAAAGATCGATGTAATTTTCAGGAAGAATTGGAATCATCACTACGTCTAGTGCACGCTGTGGCAACTGGGGCCACGGGGGCACTGTGTGTAACCCACAGGTACGGCCGACTGCGAGCACCTTTGCACGCCGCACGCTGGGACACGACTAGAGCCAGAGCTGATTTAGCAGCAAATATGTTACATCAACTTGGCTTGGAAAACGCGGGTGAGTAGCAAATCTTCTGGTGTACTGTCCCTTAGCATTTCCTTCATTTATTTATTTTTCCAACTTTGTTAATTTTTCAGAGATTTTGACGGCGGTATCTCAAAGCCTAGTCATGGGGGCGAGTGCAGTGGAACGCGCTGTGGGAGCACGAGCTATAGTTCTGCAACCAGATGGAATTATAGAGGGATCGATAGCTTGGGAGAGATTTGGCACAGGTGAACCAATTGCGGTACCCGCGCCGCCGAGGGACAACCCCCCCGATCCTGAATATCCATGGTACTTTTTTGATTTATTGTTTTTGTAAAGCGGTGGCTAATCACGATAGAAGATTTTGTTCAAATCCAAATACCGGTACAAATACGGTATTTCCGACTGTAAAACTTTTGAATTTTTAAACGAAATAACAAATGTCAATTTGTTTTGTTTACATTCGTTATATTTTGAGTTTTGACTTTTTTAACAAGCGGAATAATGTAGTATTTAATATTTTATATAATTACTTTTAGGTATGTATCTGCTTACCAGACAGAAGAGCTTAGGTCGTCAAAGTTTATGCCTTCGCCACCAGGGGCTGCTATGGGAGGCTGGTGGACTTACCCGTATTATAGCTGCGAATCTGAACGCTGGTTGTTGTCGTATACAGCCCCGGTTCCAAAAATCCGCGGGTAAGCTTACAATAATAAATATATAAATTGCTAAGATAATTTGACTGAAAATACAAATTTAAAATAGGAATGAACTTGATATGTGTAAGTTCAAAATCTTTTTCCTAGGTTAAGTGGAGTTGTTTCACTGGATATAGACATATCTAATTTAGAAATCAATCAGTGTGAGGCAGAGAATGATGAAGAAAATGATAATCAAATTTATTCTTTTCACGGAACTCATAAATGTCCCAATGAGACTACTTTTGTAAGTATAAAATGCATTGTGTACAGTTTTATTCGAAAGATACGAACCACGGTTTTATCTTGTTCAGTGCCATCAAGTATTGTAATTTTAAGATTCAATTGAACTTAAAACCCTAATAGTAATATTTTACTATTTAAGCATGTAAACATGTGAAAGTTATATAATTTATTTTTTATAGTACATAATTGTTATTACAGTGTATATATAAACCAAACCGAGAAATGAATGCAAGACATGCTGGTTGGGCAAGAGGGTCATATATTTGTAATTGCCGACCTGGATATTATTCCATACAGCATCCAGATGGATACAATGGCACTCTTGTTGAAGGTATGATTTTATTAAATTAAAATATAGTGCAATATGATAAATAAATAAAGGCAATAAAATAAGCTATTTGCTAATAAATCAAATATGAGAAGGACTAAGAACTGAAGATAGTAAGACTTCTAAGGTATAAAAGGCTAATAAAAAGCTAAATAATTATGAACATGATATAATTGGTTTATTTTTATAAAATAAGGTCTCTTTCTCTGCTGAATCCACCTCCATCCTTCCCTCCAAAATTAGGGCTCCAGCACACACACTCATCAGGTGAAATACATTTGGCTTTACTTCTCGCCAGTCTTCTCTGTTATTTTGCTGGTTCTGCCGGTGAATTTGTGCTACAGATATTTCTGTCTCTACCTCTGTTACCTCTACTTATATGCTCAGTTTTAGTAGAAAATATATTTCAAATTTAATATTTTTAGTTGCATTTCAAGAGTTTGAAGAAGGTGGTTTAGAAAACTGGAGTGCACCTTATGAATGTTTGAAATGCCAGCCAGGTTGTGAAACATGTACAGGTCCAACGCCTTGTCTTGCTGAATACAACTGGCCATTCCGGTTAGTACTTTTTTTAATATTTCCATTTACTTGTACTCTATACATATTTTAAGTAATGGTACAAGAGCTTTATGGAAGTCAAAAGTTTTTAATGAATATAAGTTTGTTCTATTTTATGGGAAACAATTTTAAAAATTAATTTTAAAACCGACTTAACAAACTCCTAATCAACTGATCACTCTATCAACTACTTAACCTACTCCTATTGACAAACTAATTAAAATAATCTCTATATCCAAAAATTATGCATTTATTTGCAGGATATCCCTTCTCGTGATATCAGTGTCGTGTGCGGGATTGACAGTATGCCTCACGTTCTACACAAGACACCATCGTCGCGTCAAAGTGATCCGAGTCGCAAGCCCTGTATTCCTCTCAATAACATTACTTGGATGTGCTATTATGTATATGGAAGTAAGTCAAAATCAAATATAATTAGATGATTGTCAGCTCACTATAGGTCCCCACTGAATACTCGGAGCCTGCCCTAAGTTAGGGTCGACTAGGCTATAGTCTAACATGCTGGCCCAGTGCAGGTTGGTTGACTTCACACATATCTTTGAATCTCCTCTCAGATATGTACAGGTTGCATCACGGTGTTGTATATATGTAAATCACATTGATATATGGAGGGGTTCAAACCCAGGACCTGCAGATGCAAGTGCTTAACCCATGGACTACCAATGCTAGACCGAGTTAGATATAACTTAAAAAATATTTTTGTCAGAAGTTCAAACTTATATTTTACAGATGGCAGCTATATTTCCAGTACTTGACAGATATTCTTGTATTGCCACAAAATGGACTCGGCATATGGGTTTTTGTATTACCTACACAGCTTTACTTATGAAAACTTGGAGGTTAGTTAATTTATTCAAACTGATATTTTATGAATTTTCTTTCTTATTTTCTCTTAATAATGCTACGTTTTTTTTAAGTTGGAGGAGATTAAATTGTGGCCCTATGAAATAATTCCTATTAATCTATTTTTAGGGTTTCGCTGACTTACCGAGTGAAGTCAGCACACAAATTGAAGTTAACTGATAAACAATTACTACAATGGATGGCGCCCATACTTCTCATAATGCTGGTCTATCTCGGTACATGGACTTTATCATCACCACCAGATGCTGAAGTTGTGAGTATAATAATGCAGCAAGGGAGAGATTCAAAATACCACCAATGCAAGTGTCAAAAAGAAAATTGACTTGACTGGTGACTTTTACTTACTTGTTTGAAGGTGTCTGACCATAGAACTGGATGGATCATGGAATCCATGATTAGGAAGTGATTGACGCTTGTCAAGCGGGAATAGGATAGAGCTGACTAAGGCCCTTCGTAATCTAGGCAACGTAAATCTTCAAAACCTTTCAATTATAGACATCAGTACAGCAGTTCAGATTATTTTGTCTGTTTTGTCTATTTCCAGATAACTGACGATAAAGGATTAAAATTCAAGCAATGCACATACAACTGGTGGGATCACAGCTTAGCTATAGGTATTGTTAAAAAAATATCATTACTAAAAGAATTGCCTTTTTGGTAAGGTGGTGTATGGTTATCATCGAAAATATGCCTTCGGGATGAAGATATGTTTATATGGCATTAGGCACACTAAAACCTCCTTTGTGGCCTCGAGCACAATTGAAAATAAAAATATAAATAAATAAAATAGTTTTTTCTTTACTTTGGTGACAAGATTACACTCATAAAGGTTTTCATTATAAATTATAAAATCAATGTATTAAATTAATTATAATTCACTTTTTTTTTCAACATAATATATTTCAGGTGAAATTCTATTTCTATTGTGGGGTGTTCGAGTCTGTTACAGTGTTAGACATGCAGAGAGTCTGTACAATGAGGCTCGCCTTATATCCATAGCAATATACAATATATTTACAGTTAATTCAGTTATGATAACATTGCAGTAAGTATATAAATCATATCTTCCTTGTTCTTAATATTTATTGACTATCAATAACCAAATGACATACTTTTTTTTCAGTTTATTAATTTTACCTCGAGCTGGCCCCGATATAAAATATCTTCTCGGCTTTGCTAGAACACAATTATCTACATCAATTACAGTCCTGTTAGTTTTTTTCCCAAAGGTATGTGAAATGTTTAAAAGTTAAACTAAGTTTGCAATACTTTGTAAGTCAAACAACTCTATATAAAACACTTTTGGAGTGGAGTGGAGTGTTTCTTGCAAATTTCACCAATGTAATTTGTTATAGTTTCTACATTTTTGTTAATATAAGGTATTCCGCGTGATCCGAGGCACGGGAGACACGTGGGAGGGCCGGGCTCATGCGCGAGGTGTCCCAGCTTCATCCTCTCTTAACGGTATCGGTCTAGTGGCAGACGAGGCACCAGACTTGTACCAAGAGAATGAGGAACTAAAGGTATTGTATCCGGGCATTTGATTTGGCGTAGTATTAAAATGATTAAATCATGGGCTGCTATAGAGCGTTTATGGATGGCTGTTTGTTTGAAGGTATCACCAGAACGGCTAAACGGATCTCAATGAAATTAGGCATACATAATATAGTCTGGAATAACATATAGGCTACTAATTGTGTTTTTTTAATACCGCGCGGACGGAATTGCGGGCGACCGCTAGTAATTACATAGACCACTTTTTAATCTTTGAATAGAATTAATAAGTATTGTAATATTGTTGAATAGTGTTGTAATATGCCAATTAAAACACTTTATGGCGAAGGGAGGCTCTTAATTCTTTTTTTACTTCCGTAAGAAGTTTCTTATCTAATATCGTAAACGCAGCTTAATAATAGTAAACAAATTTTCAGGAAGAGGTGCAAAAGCTCGCGGCACAGATAGAGTTTATGAAGATAGTGCAGATGGAGATGCACAATCGACATCTGCGGCCGCGGCCCGGCAGTTACTTCAGCCAGGCCGCGCCACTCAGCCCTGTGCACGCCAACACCAACATCCAGGTACTGTGTACATATCACAAGCGCACATGTCGACACCAAAAATTATCTTTAGCTCTTTAGTATGTCATAACACAAAACAGTGATGCTTAGTAGTTTTCTATCCTTATATTATTAAGAGATATAAATTAGATTTTTTGTTATAAGGTCCGAGACAACTGAAAAGAATTGAAAAATTTTTCATTGTTGTGAAGCTACACTATCCCAGGGAGACATAGGCTAGTTAAATTTTAAAATCCGCGACGAAGTCGCGGGCAAATGCTAGTACTTAATAATTAATTTAATTTACAACAGCCAACGTCTAACTTATTAATTGAATTATAAAGAAAACTTTAGTCCTAGAGATAAACATATTCAATCGTAATAATATTTATATTAACTAGCTGTCGCCCGCGACTCCGTCCGCGTGGAATGAAAAAAAACTTAATTTATTCAATTATTCGAATTTTTCCTAGACATCTACGAACATTTCAAGACCAAGATAAGATAAATCCGTTCAGCCGTTCTCGAGTTTTAGCGAGACTAAAGGACAGCAATTGATTTTATATACATATGGATATAATTGAATTTTATATATAACGTTATTATTTAAAAGTAAGAACGTGACGAGTGTAAGTATAGTTGCATAGATAAATATGTGATTTACACAGGAGGTGACTGAATGGGGTGGGCCAGTGTGACTGGTAGCACTTAGCGACAGCGGCTGGTCGTGGCCGGGGCCAACCGCGCGCCGCGTCACCACCGCCGTCGACCCGCGCCATCCAGCCTTTGTCTGACGCATGCGCAACATATGTGACGTCATGACGCAACTGACAATGTCTCGTCACTACTGCCGACTGACACAACTGACCATATTTCGACGTTCATATAAACTAAGAATATTATTTTCAGTATTTATTTTATTAACACCAATCTTATTGTTTACAGCTCTTTTAATATGATAATAGTATATAGTTTAGTAATAATTATCTATTTTAAATAGTAAAGTCAATATTAAAAACATATCCTTTGACCATTCCGATTTAAGTTAAAGATGGTACAAGTAAAGAACAACATATATTTGTTATGAAGTTATTTGATTCGTTAGCTTTAATACAATTACTGTAGGTTTCTGAGAACAATATACCCATTTAAATGTGTTGTTATCTCTGTTTTGACAGGCATGATATGTTTTATATAGACATTTTGATCTCCGAAAGCAACGGTTAAGCTATAAAGTTAAGTTATAAAATTAACACAAAACAAAATTACATTCCTTTTAAATTAGTCAAAAGTACTATGTTTTATTTGTAGTCATATTTGCTAGTCATAATATGTAATTGTTATAGCATTGTACAATGATGTATAGTAGAAATAAAAAAAATATCTTAGTTTAGCTGCTAAGAAAAAATTATAAAAAAAATAGGGACACAATAATGCCAGGTCATTTTTAAACAAATGTTAATAACTTAGGATTTCAATATTAAATGTGTTGGTTATGAAATAGATGTCAATCAATAAATAATAATTACTTTGCTATATAAAAGATCTTTTTAAAAATTTAGATGCATATGTCACCTGTTATTAAAGTTAAATTCAACCCGAAATATTACTGAAATGTAAATACTAATATTATCTCTAAGTTATCCTTGTATTAAAATTAATCATAGATATATTAATTATTTTTAGATGGATAGTTTTATCAAGGAGTACAAATCGAGACACAATATTCGAAATGACATCAGTGTGATACAAAGGTTTTTTGGAAATCGAAAAAATTTCCCAAATTGGGAAAATACAGTGGAAATGAAATTAAAATATATTGAGATATTGATTAAAATAATAATTTTAAATAAAACATTGAAAAAATTACCACAGAAATGTTCTCCGGAGGACTTTTTCTTGTCTCACTTTATTGCCATAAATTAGGTCTCTTTAGGTATATGTATCTTACTATTGTTATGATAAATGGATGGATGTTTGTGTGAAGGTATCTCCAGAATGACTAAATGGATCTTGCTGAAATATGGCATACATATAGAACACATAGGCTACTTATTAAGTTTTTTTAATTCAGCGAGGACGGAGTCGCGGGCAAAAGGTAGTATGTTAAATTATTCATCATTACTCTTTGCTGTACTCTGTATTCCAAATCATGCATTGATTAATTAACAGAAGAAAATAAACAAGGTTTAATAGACATTTTTTATCTGTTTGTGGATTTAATAATTTAAAAGATCAAATAAATTATTCCTCTAACTGGAATGGATAATGTCCCTTGACTTTGTAATTCAAATTGCTTTTGAATTAGTAGGAATAAACAGTTAGAAATTATGTTAATGATAGTATTTAACCCTCTAGTAAAGCCAAAGTGATTGAGCCAGCCTTTGATGATTGTTGTATTATATTATATATTTATTTATTATCTATATTTTTATCATATACTGTCGTTACACATTTAAAATTGTTGCAAAAAAATAGCTTCATAATGAGACAATAACATTGGAAATAACAACTAAAAAATTTATGTCTCCATTTCATGTCATTTAATTTAATTCTTAATTAATTAAACAATTAATTTTTTATTTTTAGTAAGAAATCTTTGGCACGAATGGCGCGCTTTCGTTACCAAGTCTAGTGTTAGAATTTTAATGTTTAGGATATTATTGTAAGTATTTTGAATACAAATTGTAAATATGAAACAAGATAAAAGCATAAATTCTAAAATTATGTATATAGTCAAATAGTATGTATTTTCTTTTGTTAATTTCATGTCTGTGATAATTTAATATATTTTAAATATTTAATGCTTTAGTAAATAATGTTGCAGTTTATAAAGTTTAATGGAGTATTAACAAGTATATATTTTTAAAAGAAGTTAGTTATATATCATATCAAAGTCACATTATATCTGTAACTGTAATTTAAATATGCTGTTAAAAATATTTAATCAGCATCACACAAGTTAATTGTAGTTTGTGTGTTAGTATATTATATGACTCGGAACACAATAAAAAGAACACATAGGCTAATATTAAAGTCTTTTTTATCTAATTCTGCGCGGGCAGAGTCGCGGGCGACAACTAGTATTACATAATCTGATGATGACTATATATCAGAGTTGTATATTATAAATTATTTATTAATTCTTGTCTTCAAAAACTGTTACAGCTGTAAATATTGTAGTAAAAATGTATGATTAATAATTGTTAATGTATGTAAATATTTTTTCATTTATTGAGCTTTAAATGTTAAGATGTATCTGCTGCGATCTGTATTACAATTTCAGAGTTAACCTGCTAAGTTATAAAGTAGCCATGTCTGTAGAGTAATTTCATGAATGTGATACCAATAATATATGTCAATAGATTTAGGTTATTAGATATATTTATATGGTCACTGTATTAGGATAATTAAATTATTTATTTTAGTAATAACAAATTATATAAAGAAATCTTAAAATTTTATGATTAATTGTGCCAATTTGTAAATTTTTGATGTGATTTTGAATTGATGAAAGATGACTGTTTTGTTGTTTCTTTTATGTATATTTTTTTAACTTTTAATAATACATAGATATAAATCACGATGTTATCGGGCAGTAAATTTTAATAAAAGTGACATACTTGTTATTCTCTGATAGCTGATAGATGAATAAATATGTAAGTTGTGTTTATACAATAAAATAAATTTTAATGTTTTCATTGTTTTCTCAGTCCTTTACATTATTGGATTTTATTATTGAAGTATTCTCAGCATTAGAAAAATACAAAAAATATCCAGCGAAAACATTAGGCAAAAGACAAAAATTGCTGATGCTCTATGACAAGCGCTCAAGTTAAAATGGCAATGTGCCGGTCACATATCATGTTTCACCAACTCACGGTGGACCATACAGGCAACACGATGGAAAGAAATGTAGGTAGACCAAATAAATGGTGGTCTGATGATATTATAGATGAAGTAGGAAGGGACTGGATGACTCTAGGCAGGAACAGGTATAATTGGAAAAAGATGGAAGAAGCCTTCACCCACAGTGGAGTCCATATCTAAACAGTTAAATCTAACAATACTAATATAAATGTAAGCGAATTACTAACAATAAACTACTCATGTAAATAGTTATTTAGATATGGAAATAAAAGGCTTTTTTATTATTATTGGATTTTAAAAAGAAAAGGGAAAAAGGAATTAAATAAGTGTGAAAAATAAAAACTGAGTTTATCATTGTTTAATATAATATAATACAAATATTGTGTGTGGGAAATGAACTGTAAAAGCATATTTATTGTGTATCAGACCTTTAAGTATGAAAGTTCGATTGAAAGGATAAGCATCTGAACATAATAAGCACTTAATATTAAGTGATTGGTCATTGATAAGCAGCCAAAATACCAGAGGAACTACACATGCATTTAAGGAAGAAGTAGGCTCTTTAAAGGGTATTTTATTACAGTTAAGCTATTGGATTTTAGTGTTAACTATATGCGGAGAGTAATAACAATAATAATTTAGACTTACAAGAGATTTGAGAAATGCTTTAGATATATTATTAATAGCTGTATAATAAAATGGTTCACAATACTGCATACTAAGTAAATTAGAGCCTGTGAAGTAAGCTTTTGTTCTTTATTTACTAACTTAATTTATTTCATACATACATCACAAATAATAAAATAGATTACCTAACCTTGAATTAATATTGGGTGTTTTAAATGTTTCATGCTTACCGACTCAAATATTCTAGAATTCCATTACAATAGTCAGCAAGGAGGAATGTTCTATTCATATTCATAGTTATTTTTACACATAAAATAGATTATCTAAAGAGTATTTTTCAAAAATCTAATCGCCGAAAATTAAATCACTTTTTTTTAGAAACGGCACTGTAGAACATATGAACTCTGTTGCATTTTTAATCATCTTGACATCATTTTTTAAACAACTTTTCTGAAGCAAATCCAATATCTCCATATCTTTCCTTGCTATTTCACACACGTTTTCAATAGATGAGAGTTCCTCATCTTCAGCACTAAGTAAAGCTTCCAATGATGCACCTCTTTCAACACGCTTCCTCAATAAAGCAACTTCCTCCTTCAACTTTTGATATTCTTCATCCGAAACTTGTTCTAACTGAACTTCGTCTTCAGGTAACAAAACATTCGGTGGAATTTGTAGTAATCTCTCAATTTCACTATCTATAGCTTCCAGTGAGGGTCCTGCCCGGTCACAATATAACCTTATTAACTTATCACACGAATGTGTTAAAGTTAATTTGTCGGTGTCGTTCAAGTCTAGCGTCTCTTGTAAATAAGACTCCATATCTTTCACTCCACTTTTGATTTTGTGTTCTACCATTTGACGCACCGCTATTTTGAGACTTTGAGCACCAAAACCAAAATGTTGCGTCTCGTATTCTTCTTCAGTACCACCGATCCACGGATGTGTTTTAATCATTTTTGCTTCAGTATGTTATTTTGGATTAAAAAGCAATGTTTATAACGTACTTTAGATAATTTTCATTCAAACAAGTTGTCAGTTAAAAACTGACAAAAATTGAAATGACAATTGTTTTTTGATTTTTCAAACATTATGGTTGGCTCAAAGATTAAACATTTTGTGGTCAAAGACAAGAACAGGATTTGACAAGTGAGTGAAGAGCGTAGAGCATGTTTTCTGTTTCCCTTTCGCTAGAGTGGCCATGAAATAATCAGAATCTTATATTGTTTTCGAGTCTGAATGGTTGTAAATATCACAAGCGGGACATTACTTTTTAGGCACAGACAATTTTATCTTAACTTCAAGAATTTTAATTATTATTTAATTAACCAACTTAAATATTGTTAAATAATGAAGTCATTTGTTCAATCAAAAATCTATGGCTTCTGTTTTCCTATCATTAAATGGTTCAAACCCTTTTTCAACTTAAATCGACGGGTTTCGAAGATTTACGTTTCCACATGTACGAAGTACCTTACAGGACAATGTAAAATATGCATAATGCAATATGGTTTTGAAATAAGATCTTTCATTCAATTTGTATTCATCTCCTAGGTGTTAAAGCTTAGGTGGCATATTCTCAGACACAAAAACCAGCGTATCGTTAAAAATTTAATAAATACTTCAAGCAGAATGTAGGCGTGATCGATCACGGCGCGTGGGACATAAATTTACAGATGTTTTACGGAATTTTCAGTGTGGAATAACTCTTTCTCTCGCCAGTTAGTATAAAAAACATAATTTTAATACAATAATTATAGATATCAAATCAAAAAGAGGTACATATATCAAGTAAAGGGGACTTCAAAATTCACATATGTCGGCATCATTGTTTTCAGACCGTTTACTTCAAAAAATAACTTATTTTATATGTGATACGACAATAAAATGACTTAACATTATACAAAAAAAAAACAAATAATGATGAAGAAAAAAAATCGTGTAATTTTAATGAAACAAGTCGATTAGTCGGCGTCACCGTCGTATCAAGAAGTGTATGCGAATCGGCCAAGCGGCGACGCACATCTCTTGTAGCCGTTCCGCGAACCGCAACGCAATACACTTCACTTCACTATTCCCTTCAGTAATCAAGTGGAGTTCGAGGTGTGTCGACGCTCCCACTTATCACAACAATAACATAACCTCACTAAAGTTCGCGTTAACTTTCACCCGTTACCTTTCGAAGTTAGTGAAGTTTTGTGTTTTATTGTTAAAAACATTAAAATTATCAAGGTTTAAGTTGTGAAGTTATTGTTACCGAAACAAGATTGTGCTCGGTAGTGTTGTGTTTACAAAGTTAGCATTGTTTAATTTTATGGTTGTCGAGTTTCTACGGTTCGCGTATCCTGACCCTGAACTTGTGCCTTAAGTGTGCATCTCTTTGGTAAGCTTAGCCCTTTGCTTTTTATTGAGTTTGCGAAAATGGCTGATTTGAATGTTTTTGTCCTTCATAAAGCAACATTCCACACGTGTTGCGTTTTGTTTTTAGTTTGCATGACGTAAATTACAAACTATCTTTGTCATCATTTTATAACTAGTACATATAAACTATGAAGGAAACAGGAAACGTTAATTTTATGTACACTTAGGCCTAATGCACAGAATAATAAATAAACGTACATTTATTTACTATTTCTACATAAACATCGGTTTAATTGTCACAAGGAAAATACAATTACGTAAAAAAATAATTTCATTCAGCATTGGATTACAGACCATTTAAATTCTAGGCCAGCCAAATTTTTATTGCGTACACTTCTTGTAGGATTGCGTATACAGTTACTTAAAATCGATTCAAGTTTCGTAAACACTGTTCTTATAGATAGTACCATATTTTTAGGCCTATATTCTTTTATAAACGGTTTTAATTATTCTTGGTCATTTGGATTAAATCTAGTAATTAAAAATACGCACACTCGTGTAATACACATTTTTAGTTCAGATGACAATTCGATTTTTTATGAAGAAAACCGATTTTTGAAAAATCCGAATTAAAATGTCATTATTTTTATTTATTTCTTTTTGCTGTTACGTTAATGGTCGTATCGTAATTATTAGGCATGTGTCGTAAAATTTTACGCTGAGATAATCGTTATCAGAGTAACGAACCACGAATAATAAGATAATGCTTGTCAAACGCGCGTAGCCAACCTACCTTTTACAAATGTATGTTTTATTCTTCAACTACGTCGCTCGACTTTGTCTCCGCAGCATTAAAAAATAGCCTATAATATGCCTGCGTCCATCAGCTCTTGTTAAAATACCGTGAAAATCAGTCTATCCTTTCCTGAGACTACTTAGAACAAATTCGCACTTGCGGACAGACATACAGACAAAAAAGATTTTTCTTTACCATCAACGCAAATACATTATGTATACGCAATTGACTTTTTTACATACAGACACACCATTTTTATCAATGTCATAGATGACAGAAATGTGATGTTTAACAACGCTAGTGGATTTTTATAAACTAATGTATTAATACTTAATATACTTTTTGCATTTTATTTAAACCTTTAATTCTATATTTGAGAGTGGTACAGTCCACAGCAGCATTAGCTGCTCGTAACACAATAACTACTACGAACAAACCATGAGATCGTGGTATTTCACCGCGCGAGCCTGCCCATTCGTGCAACAGATGATTTTGTTACTGGCATCTACCACTGTCAGAGTTGATCGATTTTTGAATATTATTTAACTAGCCAGAATTTCAGCTCTCCATTTTTAACCCAAAGTAATTCACAATTCTTGTCACGGTTAAATGAGTATTGATCGAAGAAGGGCGCTCTGATTTTAGGTATTAGGATTATAAACGTAGGTGACGTTTTAAATAATGAGCCTTTTAAAGATCATAAGTACATACTGAGATCTATTACTATACTTAGCCATATAAACAAAGCTTTTTAGTGACACTAACTGTCGTCGAATTAAAAAAAAAACTTAATTAGTAGCTTATGTATTTTTCCAGACTATGTTCTATGCCAAATATCACCGAAATCCATGCAGCCGTTCTGGAGATAGCTTCTAACGAATATCCATCCATCCATCTTAACTTTCGCATTTAAAATATTAGTAAGATTGGCGTTAATAGTTGTATATTTTTTATTATAATAACTTAACGCTTATAAGAAAAACCTGTTCAGTTTCCTGTATCAGTCCAAAAACGTTTATGAAATAAAACAAATGTTCGGTACACTATTTCGCTATCCGTAGTAAGGGAACATACCCATACTACGTGACCAATTTTTTTAGTTTTTTCTAAGTTTTTTTAAGACTACATGCATACTTAAATGACTAGTTAATTATGTATTATGAAAAAGAACAAGTAATGACTACGTGACAAAAACCTGAGGCACCCTCCCGCTTCTGTGACTGACCGTAGTATTGTAAAGAAAAACGGGTCACGTAGTATGGGTACGTTCCCTAACTTCTTGAGCTTTATATTGCAGTTTGAAAGTTAATCTTGCAGTTACAAATAGGCGCTATCCATGTAAATAATTTCGCATTTCATTAGGTTTTATTCCAAAGAATTGATATACTAATCTGTATTCGTGGCTCGTGATTTTGGTCTGTAATAATATTTAAAATGTTATCAATTGTTAGATTTATGTTTGTACATTAGACGATCCCCTCATGTGATGATTATGTGTAAACTTTATATTTAAATATTCATAAGTATCAAACATTTGTAAAAAAAAAGAAATGTGAAATCATAATGTAGTGTATCGTATTGAAATTAACGTAGATTTTTTTATGACAACCCAAAATTTATTTTAGTACTATAATAAGTTTTATGTAATATACATTAAGTATGTTTCCCCGCACACGTCTGTTATGGTATTCGTGACCTATTTCTGGTCGCGCTCATAACCCGTATATTTTCGGAATGTCCACATCTGAGGCCACCGTCGTATAAATGTTATTTCATTATTTTTGTTTACATACACAGCGGTTACCGAATGAAACGAGTTTACATTTCAATTTGAAACCGGATAGTTGTTTAATCTGGTATAAATCCAACACAAACAAATGTAGACGTTTGAGAATGTTTTAAAAGCTGTGAATGATGTTTTTTATTAATTACCTATAAAAAGTAATGAGATTGAATGTGGATGGCTACAAAGGTAGAGGAAGACCAAAAAAAGTATGGAATGACTGTGTGAAAGAGGAGATGCGTAAGAAGGTGGTAGACTCGGATATGATAGAGATGCATGGAGGAGTAGTACATACTGTGCCGACCTTCGATAGGGATAAGTGCAGGTTGATGATGATGATGATGAAAAAGAATGAATAAACAATTCTAAATAATAAAAACTGGAAGTACTAACAGGTTAAGTCACCTTACAATTGTATAAAGTTGTTTAATATTATCGTCAGATATATCTGACGATAATATTCTCAACAAAATCTTACGGCCTATAGGCCGTAAGTTTTTGTTAAATTGGATAATATCACTACTTGTAGAAATCCTACACTTTGTTGGATTACTAAATGTAGCGAAATTATCCAATAAAACCAATCTAAGAAAACTATGTTAGACTGCTGTAATACTAATAATATACAGCGGAAGAATTTGTTTGTTTAAACGCGTTCATCTCAGGAACTAATGGTTCGATTTGAAAAAAATCTTTTTTTGTTGGATAGTCCATTAATAGGGGAAGGTTTTGGGCTATATAACATTTCGCTGCGACCAATAGTTTTTTTTAATTGCGCGCGGACGGAGTCGCGGGTAACAGGTAGTTCCAATCCATCAATCACCACCACCATCAACACCAATCAAAACAATGTTAGACTGTTGTTAAATTATGAAATGAAAAAAAGTTACACGATAAGGTAAATTTATTGCCTTACAATATTTTTAATTCATAATTATTGTTTAGATAAAAGTTTGATTATTCCGATCGCGCGAAATAAAAAAAAAACCTTAAGACTATGTGTCCTTCCAGACTATG